AAATGTGCTTTGGGATGTCACATATGCAGCCCTTGCTTTCTGGTGACAAGTATCTCAGACTTGGGGCTTGGTTTGCTTACAGGTGGTGGCGGTCTGTGCATGTGTTTTGGGGTGGTCGAGGCATAGGACCCCCTGCTTCTTTCAGGGTGACTAGATTAGTTAATGGCAAAGATGGTGTCAGAGCCCTGATCTGGTTCTTCATCCCATGCTGAGTCAGTCCCTACCTTTTGCTCTCACAACTCACCTCAGCTGCCTTCACTTCCTTAACGTTTCCTTCTTAGGGAGTAGAATTTTTCATCCTGAATTTTAAGTGTGGCACAGTCAAAAGAGTCTTGAAGTTCTGATTCTAGAAGTCCTGGGTTCCAATCCTGCCTGTGTGATCCAGGGCACTTTGCCACACTTGGCCCCAGTTTTCTCAGCTCTAAAATGAAGAGACTGGACTAGATGCCCCCTGAGGTCTTTCTGGGTCTAACTGTATCACCTTCACTCACCCTGTGATCTTAACTACTTGGCCATCACTGCTTCTAGCTGCCTCTTTTTAAAGAAAATGTTAACACTTGGACAACCACAGTCTTAAACAAACTACGTACATACATGCATGCATACACACATACATATATAAACATATATGCATATAAATACATGTGTGTATATGCATGTGTGGATATGTGTGTATTCTACATACACATACATATACATGTGTATGTGTGGGTGCTGTGTGTGTGTGTGTGTGTAGACACACATACATATATGCATATATATGGTTAGAGCTAAGGACACACACGTATGTGTATATATATATATATATATATAAAAATATATATATACATATATATATAAATATATATATACATATATATATAGTTATATATATATAACTATATATATATATATATATATATATATAAAAAAATATATATATATACATATATATATATATATATATATATATATAGTTAGTGCTGAAGGAACATGAGCGATCACATAGCCCATCCCTCTCATTTTACAGATGGGCAGACTGAGGTCCCAAAGAACCATGATTTGCCCGTGTTTATACAGCTAATACATAGCCCAGGTCTTTTGACACTCATTCCAATATTATTTTCAATATGCCATGCTTTATATTATTTGCATATTTTATTTTAATATATACTTTATTATTATATATTATCATCATTGAGTGCTTTCACCTGTAAAATATCTTTCTTCTTCTTGGTCAGCAAGACTTTTAGCTGCATGACCCTGGACAAGTCGCTTCATTTCTCTCAGCATCAGATTTCTTATTCTTAAAATGGGAATAATAACAGCACCTACTTTCCAGGGTTGTTGAAGTGCTATGCAAATGCTAGCTATTAGCTTAATAAGTATTTGCTGAATTGGATTGAATTTATGGCTGTGGTGATCATCCACCTAAAAATTGTCCTCATTCAAGCTTGTAAATTTTTCCCACTAGGAAACCATGTGGGTTGTGCTAAAATGTTGCCTCTTGCATTGGCTGCCATACCTCCATGGCCAGATTATATCAGAGAGTGTTTAAGGGGTGAAATCCCCCTAAATGAGCCCAAGAGTAACCAGATATTACTTACTTATAATTTTAACAGCAAAGCTGCCTTCCGACTGGGAGCTCCAGCTGATGGTCCGCCATATAAACTTGACTGACAGAGTCCTAATGTACCTTCTCCGTCTCTGAAAGCATCCTGGGCTGTCCGTAGGAATGCGGTTCCATTTCAGAATATCTTCTTACTATGTTGAGATCATTGACTTAGTCTTGGAAGGGAGCCATCAGGTCATTCAGTTAAGTCCTCTCATTTTCCACGGTTTCTATGAGTGACTTACCCGAGGTCACACAGGGAGGAAATAACAGAGCCAAGATCTAAGCCCAGGTACTCTGACTTCAATCCCACAGCTCCTTCAGCTGACCTGTACGACCTTTCTAAGTTTGTTGAATTCTTTCTTTGCCTACCTCATGTGAGTGTTACATGGAAAGGACTTTATTTGGAGTTAAAAAATCTGGGTAGCTAGGTGGCACAGTGGATAGAGCACTGGGTCTGGAGTCAGAAAGACCTGGGTTCAAATTCAGCTTTAGACACTAACTAGCTATGTGACCCTGGGCAATCACTTACTCCTGTTTGACTCAGTTTCCTCATCTGTAAAATGAGCTAGAGAAGGAAATGGCACACCACTCTAGCATCTTTGCCAAGAAAACTCCAAACTGGGTCGTGGAGAGTTGGACACAAGTGAACAAGTAGACTTTAAAGCACTATGTTAATTTGAACGATCATATTCTGACAATAGCAATACAATAATAACTTCTCAATGACAGGCCTCCTTAGAGCCAGGGAGACCTGAGTTCAGATACACAGCCTATGATACTGACTCTGTGTCCCTGGGCAAGTCTCTTAATTAACCTTTGAGTGCTGTAGACCAGTGCCATCAAACTCCAGTAGAAACCTAGGCCACTAAGGATCCCTGCAGGTCACATATTGACTTAGAAAACTATACATTTGTGATTCTTTTTTTTTTCTTATTAATACATCAACGCATTAAAATCAGGTAAGAGCTGCATTTTAATCTACTTTGGGCCACACTTGGGAGTGTGGGAGGCTGGCACTTCTGTGCCAGGTAGCTCTCTCTGATCAGAGCTGCAGAGGAGGTATTGATCTTCATTGGGGGATGGAGTTTCCTTACTGGGAGTTTGTCATAGCAGTGAAATGCCAGGTTTGTTCTCTGTCGTTAAGGTTATAACATCTTCTGTGACAGCGACTTGAGCACTTTCGTGGTCTGGTCTGTATGCTCCCATCAATCAAAAGGGTGATAGGATGGAAAACTAATGTGCTCGTAGGTTGCATTGAGAAGCTCTGCATCCAGAACAGAAAGGATAACAGGAAGATGGCGGGGACAACCAAAACAATAGGTAGCATTTATATAGTGTTTAAGGTTTGCAGAATACTTGGGATATGTTAACTCATTTGCTCCCCACCAAAATCCTGAAAGTTAGGTGCTTTTATTGTTCCCATTTTTCAGATGACAAAACTGAGGCCAAACATCTCCCACTTTGGGAAAATGTTCTAGAGAGGATTCTGCCAGTATAGCTAAGATTAGAGAGATGGTGGCTGAGATACTGCTTCCAAATCTGGGATACTGTTCACTCAATGGGAGGATTTTTCATATGCACTGATAAAGGATTAAAAGGATATGGATTATGCCCTAAAAATAAAGAGTTTGGATTTGGCTTATGAGCCTTAAAGTGTGACTGTTCTGAATATGACCAGAGCCACTATTTTTTACACAGGGACCATGAGGTTTAACCTATGGGCAAAGAAAAGCTACAAGATATTCCAAAGGCAAGGATAGGTCAAATCACTCTTTGAAAATCCTGGCTTTTGGACTAGTAATAGTTTTATTCATTCATTTTATTTATCAGGCCCTGTCAAGCCAGTTGCCTTAAATTAGATGAACATTTCTTTAAACACAAAAAGTTTTATTCATATCTTTTGCTTTTACTTTATCTTTATTTTCATGTATATCCCTCTGCCCTCTCTGCCCAGAGGGCCATCCCTTATAAGAAAGAATTTTTAAAAAGAGGTGGGGAAAGCAGTTAAAAAAAAACACAACCTGACCAATATATCAGTTGAGCTTGGCAGTATCTGGGGTGTCCAGTAGCCACAGATCACCATCTCTACCTAGAAAGGAGAGAGACACATTTCTTCCTATTTCCTTAAGCACCAGTCTTGATCATTAAATTATACTGGGTTCACTTTAATTTTTGTTGTTGATACTGTTTCCATTTATGTTGCTGTTGAGTCATTTTGTGTTTTTTTCCTGATTCACCTCACTTGACTTTGCATCAGTTTATGTAAGTCTTCCCATGCTTCTCTGACTGCTTCATATTCGTCATTTCTTATGGTGCAGTAACATTTAACTCATTAACATATCCCAGTTTGCCATTTTTCAGTGAACGGGTAGGTGACCACTTGCACCATTTCTGTTTCTGCCTCTTTATGGTGATTGGGATTTTTCCATGTAGAATCATTACATATAGCAGCTAAGTGGCACAGAGATAGAGCATGGGCATTGCAGTCGGAAGACTGAGTTCAAACCCTGCCTCAGACACTAACTAGCTGTGTGACCCTGGGTAAGTTATTTCACCTTTCTCAATCTCAAATACCTCATCTGTAAAATGGGGATAATAATAGTAGCTACCTAGGATTTCTGGGAGGATGATGTGAGGTAACATATTTAAAGTGCTTTGTTAACCTTAAAGAGCTACATAAGTGTAAGCTATTATTACGTGGTGAATAAATTAGAGATGTACTGATTAGAGATGGAAATTCCAGTGACTGAAATTTGCTGTAATATTCACCACAACCCGCCACTGATCTAGGCCATTTCTTCAGATATTCCTGATTTCCTTATGGGAGTTAGTTTAACCTTAACAGCTACTACTATAACAGGCACTCAGCCAAGTTATTGGATTGACTCACATGTTCACTGATTGATGTCCCCTGCCTCTTCCATGACCCAGTGCTACACAGCACGAAAGATAGGTCTCTTTTCTGTGGTAGACGATGATGAAATAGAATATAGTAAAAATCTCCATCAGAATTCTTTTCACCAGGAACCTCATTTTGTTGGATTTTTTGGACATCTTTTGGTTTTTGTTAGATGTCTCTTTCTCCTAGGAAAACATGTTGCTCTCAAGGACTTTGGTCAAAAACAACACCCACGATGTCCTGGGATCCGATCACATTCTGCCAAATCTCTTCTACTCTCTGTGTTTAGAAGACCGCACAGTGAAAGCTAGCGTTTAGAATAATGACCTTGAGAACCAAGTTCAGCAAAAAAAAAAAAGTGTCTGATATGTACATTATACTTTACTTATTAAGATGGGTTTTCAGCAGGTGTCGAAACAGAAGGAGTTTCTAGTTAACCATCAGCAAAGCAAGAGTAATCATTCCCCTGACCATCCCGTTAATTGAGGTTTGTCCGTGTTTCCTTTTCTTGATCAGTTTTTGTGTGACCAGGAAGACGGATGACCTAATTCACTCATTCCTTAGTGAGGAAGGTTTGAAGGAATAGAAAGCGCTGAGGAAGGGAACCGCATACAGACTTTTCATCTCTGAGGTGGCTCCTTCAGGGGGGAGCAGGGTGGGATTCGGTTTGCATCTTGACATTTGGAAAGGAGGCCAGTGGGTTCTTTGGGTCGCCTTCATTTCTTTTTTATGTTTAGGTGGTGATCATCAGGGGCCGGGTTTACATTTGGCAGTGGGCATGTGTTCCTAAAAAATTAGATAAATTACATTTTTTTAATTAATGGTTTCCTCTTTTAAATGTCCCAGGAAAGCTCGCTACTTCAAGGACCTGGGAAAATTCATTTTGTCAGGAGACAGCATGGCATGATGGAAGGAACATCAGGGGATCTGGGCTTGAGTTCTGCCTCTGATGCTTACGAAGGTGTGACCTTGGGCAAGTCTCCTGATGACCCCAGGCCTCAGTGGCTTCTTAAAAGAGGACATTGGGTTAAATGGTCCCTGAGGCCCCTTCCCACTCTGTGATTATTTTGTAATATAATGTTACCATGACTTAACATTTTTAATTGAATTCAGCAAAAATTCATTAAGGTCTGGTTATGTGCAGAGGACTGTGCGGCACCATTGAAGAGATAAATGACACATGGTGACTAGGTATTATTAAATAAGGGATGATAATAATAGCCTGTGTTTATCTAGCGCTGTAAGATTTGCCAGGCACTTCGTTGGATCCTTACAGCAACCCTATGAGGTTATGATGCTGTTATTATCCCCATTTTACAGATGAAAGAAACCGAGGTGCAGAGTGATTAAGTGATTGCCCAGAGTCATAGAGGCAGTAAGTGTCCGAGGCAGAATCTGACCAGGCTTTCTGGACTGTAGCCTGAAAAGTACCTCGAGACTGCCTTTAAACCTTTCTGTAGGCTTGTGGTCTCAGTAGTCAGGGCCGTAGGTCTGGAGTGCAATACTGTGCCCATTGCATTTGCCTAGCTGCCTCGGTACGGTCCTTGCCTTCTCGGGGTTCCATCCTAAGGCTGATAGGCAAGTAAAAACATGAAATGTGGGCTATTCCATTTGTAGAAGTGAAGATCTCAAGGAGTGGGGCTATTTCAAGCCATGAGTGGTTGGCTGTGCCATGTCCCATCGAGGATGGATGGCCCTAGGGAAGCACTGCTATTTGAGCGGGAAGGGCTTTTCTGAAGGTGGCCACAGGCTTTGAAGGCAGTCAAGGCCAAGGAAAAAGAAGCCAGAAGAAAGGAAAACGTTTATGGGTTGTCTGGGTTGATGAACTAAGATATCTGAAGAGGAGGAAAAGGAAATGGAGACTGGAAAGGTACAGTGGTGTTAGATTGAGGGTGGGGTGGGGTAGGGTCTTTGAATGGCATTCTGGGAAGTCTGGATTTTGTTGGGCAGACAGTGAGGAGCCACTGATGATTATTGTGCTCTACTAGAGGAGCAGCATAATCAGAGCGATGCATTAGGAAGAATAATCTATTGATGGTGTAGAGAGGGCATTGTAGTATGGGGGGAGAGAATGGAGGCTGGGACAGCACTTGAGGGGCTGTTGTAGGACCCTAGAGGAGAGGACCTGAATTGGGGGGAGGCAGTGGGAGTGGAAGGAGGGGACTGATTCAAGAGGTAGTGCAGAGCCAGAACCAATATAACATCCTAATGGATGAGATGCGAGGAATGAAGGAGGAAGGTGAATTACAAAGATGGATGAGGCATCTCTCCATTCCTGCAGGGGCTTCCCCAGCACACACACTGACACTCACACTCACACTGGAAATCCACTTCTCCCTCCGCTTATTACCATGACTGTTGTCCCCCTCCATCTAATATTGCCACCTTCCCTACAGCCTTTTATGATCTCAGCCCTGGGCTTGGGGGGGGGGGGCTTCCTTCAGCCTGGGGGTACCCCCACATGTCTTCAGGCAGAGGGGCAGCAGCCAGTGGGAAGGGCAAGCTTTGAAGAAAGGCTTCAGGAAGAGGGAAGGACCTTCTGAGCTGGGAAGCAAGACTCCAGAAATATGAGTGGATGGAACCCAGGGCCTGGGTCATGGAGCTTTGGCCAGGGAGATGGCCACCTCAGTGAGGCAGTGCTAGAATGGCGTGGCGGGGACAGTGCAGTGGCAAGATCACTGGCCCTAGAGTCAACCAGCTGAATTCCAACTCTGGCACATCAACGTTGGGTGAATCACTGAACTTCCCTGGGTCTCAGTTTCCTCACCTGTAAATTGATAGAAGGGATTAGACTGGAAGACCTCTGAAGTCCTGAGTGACCTTGGGCCAAGGTAATGAACCTCTCTGGACTGCATTTTTCTTATCTTTAAAACGACATAGTCTCTGAATTCCCTTTTGGCCTGAATTCTGTGATCCTTCCTAACTCCAGTCCTGTGACCCTGTAACTACTGAGACCACAAGCCCATGGAAGGGCTTAAAGGCAGTCTTGAGGTGCTTCTCATTCTACAGTCTACTTGTTACCTCTCCTCTTGTTGACTCAGATTTTATGTTTTTTTGGTCGCTTGTTTGATGGTGCATGAAATTTAAAGGATTGTCAGATCAAACTTGGACACTTTTTGCATCTGGTGACATTCTGATATTCTTTTCCACCACCTGGGGTAGAAAGGGCCGTGGGCGCAGCTGTGGTGGTAACTACCATGATGTAGACTTCATTTCCATCAGTTTGTAAAACTCAGGACCATATAAAATTAGTTCCTTTAAAAAATTTATGGCTGAAGATGATTTTCTAGTGTGAAATCTTTTGGGAAACAGAGACTCTCTCGGCATATTCTTTCTAAAATCCTGGAAGGGCCCAGGTGGGCCCAACGCTTTGCCTGGGCCTTAGGTTTGAAGTGGGTGAAGGTAAATGAATTTTATATAAAAAAAGTCCATGGAAAATGAAGGCGGACACTCCCATCTGGGTTCCATTGCCTAAACTATAGAAGCCCAAGTATGTCTGGGAATGGGCTGGTCCAAACATTGAAATATGGATAGCATGCCTCCTTTAAAATGCTTGTTAATGATTTTATGAGCACGTTGCTAGTCAGAGCATCACATGTGGTTTGAGAAATGGGTCTGGCTATGCTTGGCAGGCAATATTATTCCGGGAGAGTACGAAAGGCCATCTTTTTTTTGACTCTTCGACGTCGTTACACCGTGAAACAGAAAGATAATTCAGCTGAGCATCGCACTGTGGACTAGACACTGCATTTCAGAATACAAATATTACTGAAGGTAAATGAATCATTAAAAGAGAACAGTGGCATAAAATATCTGACGAATGAACTCCTGGAATCTCTGCTGGAATAAATTTCCCCCATTCATGGACAGCCCCTTAATCCGGGCGCTAATAGTATCAGTTCTGTGTTTAAAATGCCAAAAAAGCATTTCTGTGGACACAGTACAAATGATTGGTAATTGTGTCTTACAGGGCTATAAATACATGGAGGGGATTTGGTGATATCATAATAAACCCCAAGCAGAACTGGAGTGCTTTCTAATGTTACCAGAACCTTGAGAAATATTTACAGCCTTGTTCACAGTGCTACAGTTTTAGGGCCCTATTCTTTTGGTGAGACGTGCTTCTCATTCCCATTAGGGCCAGTGGGAGTTAGGCGTGTCTGTCTAGGGGAGAATAGCCCCTCAGCCTGGATAATACATGGATCTCCTAACAAATCCAGAATATAATTAAAGAGAAAGAAAATGTTCTCTCCTGTCCTTCTCTCAGCGCCTTCATGTCCTGTTCCTGTCCTCTGAAGGATGTTTCTAAAAGGGAGAAGAGGCAGACAATGACCAGGCCACTTTCGTCTCCATTTAGTTGTAGCTGTGCTGTTGTTATTTTTTAGTATATTTTTAAAAATGCTGTTCCTGATTTGGTGGAAAAGTGAAGCCCTAGTTACCATAGCCCCACCCCCTGCCCTCTTCGATGCAAGAGGAAGACATTTAAAGGTGGGGAGGGGCACAGCTGGGCCTTGATTCATAGAAAGGAAGACCCTTTTTCAACCAAGTGAGAATGAGGCTGTTCAAATTAGGGTGTGTGCCTCTCAAACCCTTATGATAACCTCCCACTGGTACTCACTTGGGGACGCTGTGACCTGCTAGATGGCTAACCCCAAGGCCAATGTTGGATAGAATAATGTCCATCAGGCTAGCAGGTGGCTTTAAGAAGCGGTTCAAGGTACAGTGAGGAAAGCACTGACTTTGGAGTCCAAAGACCTGGGTTCAAATCCTGTGACTGATAACTTAATCCCTTTGGGACTTTGAGCTAACCATTTCTCTCCCCTGGGCCTCCATTTCCTCATCTGTAGAATGAGGAGATCGCATAAGAAAGCCTCTGAGATCCTTCAGCTCTAGATCTTCATCCTCTTCAAAAGACAAGGACCAGCCCCAAGCATGGAGAACCTCAGTGGGGCCCGTTGGAGCCTCCACCATGTTCTTGACCACCATGGTCTGTGCCTGCTTGGTGCCTTCAGACAAGTCTGTTCATCTAGCAGATAAAACCCTGGACTAGGAGTCAGGAAGACCTGAATTCCAATGCTACCTATATCCTTTCTAGCCATGTGACCTTGAGGAGGTCATTTCACTTTTCTCAGCCTCAGTTTCATAATCTATAAAATGGTAACAACACCTGCCTCACTGGGTAGACATGAGGAGAAAATATTTGTGAAGTCCTTGGCAAACCTTCAAGTGCTGTGTAAATGCTGTTAATGTTGTTGTTACATTCCAACCTTTCCCATTTTCCTAGATGCTGGAAAAGAATCAATCTGTGAAGGGATTGGACCCTGAACCTTTCCCTTATTAATGCCAAGCTGTAACCAGCCACACTCCCAATGACAGCGCTCAGTCTAGGATGCTTTTTATACATTATTTATCCTTAAAATCCTCTTTAGATTACAGCTAATATATTTTGAATGGCTGATGTCAAATAAAAATCCGAGCTTTGGGGGTGAGAAGGGGCAGAGTCAGATCCCGTCCTGATTTAGGGCCATGGTGTGCCCTGGAGGGGCCTGGAGCTCTGAGAAGGAGGATTTCAGAGGTCTTTGTAGCACCCTGCCAGGGTTCCTTAGGACATTTAGCAGAATAGAGCTTGAAGAACTATCGAAGTCACATTCTGCTCCAATGTACCATCTAAAAATAGTTTCATCTGCAGTGTGAACACAGTTTCATATTTATACTAGCATCTGGCCTGAGGAATTGAATACTTCGTTCTTTGAATAGCTTTCACTCCAGCTCTCGAATACTTGGTGACTAAAAATCTCCCCATAGTCGAACACCTTGTTTACATAAGCACATTTAAATACAAACAAGCTTACTTGAAGATGCAGAGGAAAAAATATATTATTTTGAGCCGTGATGGTGCTTTGGGGGTGGAGACTTTTGGATTTTTTCTTTTTTTTTATTTGAGAGAGGAGGGAGGAGAGCCATTATAAAACATCAGAGCTTAATAAAGGGACACCCACTCTGTTTTCATTCTCTCTTTTCCTAGATTTAGCCCATAGAGGAGTAAATGGTTTGCACAAACTAGGGGTATGTATGGCCCATGGAAAGCAACCAGAGTGAAGGACTTATGCTAGTGCCAAAGGG